AATACTGCTGGTATAATTGCATCTAAAAGGCAACAGCCATCCCCACACAAAGCTAACATAAAATTCTAAAAACATCAACTGCAGAAAAGTTACTGACGTGACAATGTCCACCACAAATGTCATTTAAATAGGGCTGAACAATCAATACAGTTTAAATGAAAACTGAGATTTGAAACAATACAACAAAATAAAAACTCTGCAGTTCAGGACAGACACAGACAGCACATCTGACCAACAGTTCAAACTGTTGTGTCAATAGTTTTACAAATCCATGCTGTGCTCCTTGCGAAACAAGTCACGCTTTCGATGGTATCTTGAACGGTAATGTTCCATCACATGTTTTAAATCTATTACACATTAAATGCTGTGCTGAAGCGTGACTTAGAAAAGTATATGAGAAAATCAAATTACTGAATTTAACTACTTAATTTAATTACTTGACTAGCACAAAATCAAATGAGATTTTGGTATGTCTGATAGTGAAAACTGGCCTAAACAATGAGCTTTTGTGGATTTGGTTGGTGCTTTTTGGTGACATCTGGAAAATTAAACCTATGAATGAAACAACACAAAGCATCACGCTAACCAGGGTTTTTCCTGCACAGATGAATTACTGCCACCCCCCAAAGAGGCTTTAGTTGCCTCCCTCAGAGGCAAGAGCCATAGACAAAGCAAAATTACCAGCACCGGATTGATAAGAATTTTAACAAAATCTTTTTTTCATTTCACAAGTTATGTTAAGTGCAGTTTTACTGATTCATGCAAACTGAATTCTCTGTTTATCAAATGGTCTGAAATGACAAGAAAATTCCTAGATGTCTGTGTGTAACAGACTTACTGCCTTTATGGACCAATCACGCTTACTGTCATGCGTAGTCAACCTTAAAAGGCCCATTCTGCGCCAGGAAAAACCCTGCTAACTGCTACCAGTTTTTCCTTTTTTACTGCCACTTTTACTGCAATCTTCACAGCAGTTGTAGAACACAGCTGGGAATTCACTGCCAGCAGGCACAAACAGTGATGCCCACTTCAAGCACAACCATTACAAACTCTGGCTGACACAGAAGCACAAAAACTGACTTCACCGCAACATGTGGGTCCTAATTTTAGATGACTTCAGACAGAACTGGTGTCAGTGAGGTATCTTCAAGATGACATTTGATTGTGGGATCGTCAGACCAATTAGAATTACGCACACAATGCATATGCAAGAAAAGAACAAATATGCACCATCCAACAGTTCACCGCTGGAGCTGGAAAAAGCTGTTGACGTGTGAGCAAGCTGCCCTGGAATGTTTGTGCATTCCAGTCAAAGGGTACTCTCACCAGGAGGGAGGGAACAAGGGAGAAAATCGCACCTCCCCTTCACCTACCTACTCAGCCTGGACACTGGACCAGTGCAATAGTTCAAGGTGGCACCAATTTCATCCCTCATTGCAGCTCACCAGGCTTCTCCTGCTTCTTCTAATTACATTTTCTTTTCAAACACTTCTTAAGGGTGTTGTAACAGCCGACACTCTTTCTCAACTGTATTATAAACCGCTAAACAAGGTCTATAAATGGCGTATCAGTTCAGATAAGAATCACTTTCCAAATAAGTACGTAGTTTACAATGTGGATACATTTAATAGTCCTCCTTCCATAAAAGATGAAAACAGGAGAACAGAGTTGGCGCGCAGCTACAGCCAATGTCTTTGTGTGAACACAGCAAGTAAGCGCTTAGGCTGCACGGTACTGGACAAAACTCACACTGTACGACTTCATCTCTGAGATATACATCAATACAAAAAACAATGCAGGAATTTTCAGCAAAGGACTTGGATCACTCTATCAATAAATAAATAACTAGTCATTGTAGAATTACTTTAAAAAGCTCTTTGATACCTTTCTCATATGGCGTAACACTGGCACAGACGTCCAACATATTTTTCTTGCGTTTAGATGGCATTCAGTTCTAACTTTGCACTTGTCATACAGAACTTCGGGCTAAAAACAAATTACTTGTGTGACAACAGATGCAAGACATCGCCTGACAGAGTACCTGTTTTCAGTCAATATCCTTTCTACAGGCAAAATATTTGCATACCACTGACACTGCAACCAAATCTTCCTTTTTAGTGTTTCTCTTCTGTTTCTCACTCATTTTGCTGTGCACATGTGGAGTCTGCATGTTAACAGTGTCTTTAAGAAAAAAAAAAAAAGTCACCTCACAGTTCCAACAACGTGACCATTGTGCATGCACACATCACAATCTCAAAACTACAACAATACATTTTGCAGCCCTCATGCAGCAACAGAAAGCCAAATGAAGCACTGAGACATTTTTACACTTTGCTTAAGTGCTTTTAAAAAATGACACCTAAAATTAATCAAATGTACAAATCTGCATTCTGTAAGGGGTTGCTGAAATTTCTTGATTCTAAATTCAAAATATGATTACAAAACCTCCTCATTCATTTAAGTCGGAATATCAATGAATCAATGTGTCAAAGATGGTCAACAGTAGGGAGCGTACACCTACAACTTAAAATATAAACAGAAACCATTTTAGAGGAAATGTTGTAAATAATCGAGCTTAAGTGAAAACAGTGACCAGACAGCACAAGCTATAACCGCAATGTCCATGCTTCAGTTCCCAAATGTAGGACCTGTGTTGCATTTCTCTGTCCTTGTTTACACTATTAACTGTCAAGTAAAAGAAACATTATGCAAAAAAATTAATAAAAAAAATGAAAACCCCCAAAACTTAGTTCTGGACTGGAAATATACAGGAAAATGACACGAAAACAAAAGAGTTTTGCACAGTGTGTGAACACCAGATTACAGCACATAAAGCGCTTCTACTTTTTTAACAGCTGGATTTTCTTGCCTTCCAGATACAAATCCCAGGAGGCCTGGCAGAAAGCCAGATGATCAGCTGACTGCACCACATCAGCATAAGCAGCAGCATGCATGCACACGTACAGACGCACACAAAGAGCCCACATATGAACTCAGTTGTTTTAGTCTGACAAAAGGCCTCAGTTACTTCTGTATTGGAAAAAAGGAAATGAAAATGCACACATTGAATAGAGATACATTTCTGATGATGTGAGACTGAATGAGATTTTCAAACCCAAAACAGACCAGACACCACTGTAGACATTCATGTAGACATCTTTAGAGACGCTATTGTGTTGTGATCAGAAGCTATGCTGGTCTGTGACTTATCCAAAAAGACAGACTTCATCACTCTAAGCATAAACACAATGCATTAAAGAAAAGTCTGCAGAATCTTAACATGTTACTCATTGTGAGGATATCAACAGGATTCCAACTTTCACATCTTAACCTTTTCAGCCTGAATACGCCTTCAAATGCATTACATGCATCCTTAACTGCAGCTTTTAAAATTTGCTACTTGCATTCTTTTAAATCGTGACTTCAACTTGAAATTCATTCACTGTTTAGCCCTGGTATGAATTGCACAATTTCAGTCCACCAAGACTTCCTTTGGCTCCCTATAACTCCAAATCAGTCATCTATCACGCTCTGAGCTGTGATCACCCAAAGTGTGCAAGTCTCTAGCTTTCCACTTTTATTTATTCAAATCTGAGACCAACATAGAAAATCAACAGCACACTGACTTTATATACTGGCTGCATGTTCAACCAAAAGTTCAACAATGCTTAACTGATGGTCAGCCTTCTGTTCTGTTCTCTTATGCATCATTAAAAGCTGGAAACCTGAACCTCTTTGTTTTAAATATAAGACCATGGAGGGTAGAAACATGAGTCATTAATACAACAAAGACCTGCAAGCAGATGGACAAAGGTGGGCTCATGACTTTCTTCACGTTATATTATGCAAACAGTAGAAATAGAGACACAGCTATCACAAACTAATTACTATGAGGAGCTAATCACGTATTAATTCTATGCAAAGTAGTAAAAATATCAGTGAAAGTTGTCCTGTTTTCTATACTGCACAACTTCACATTTATCTCCAGTTCGTTGTGCCTGCTAGGTTTAATAACTCAATTTTGAAAAACTACATCCACTACCTTCATACCCTTTTGTTAAACACAAAACATGTTCTATATATTAGCATATATATGCTAGTCAGTTCATTGTGATAACAGTTGTGATGATTATTAATTAGTTTATTAGGCTGGACTACTCAATATGACTAACTCTACCCATTTAAATGTTTTCTCAAGCAGTAAAATGGCTTGTAGCATACCATGGTGGACATAATTTGCCTGAGTTCACACCCCATTGCGCTTTACAATCCTTTGGCCATACAACTCCCAAAAATGTCAGACTCTGGTACCACTTTCTCTAGTGTGGGTGCCAAAGATCTGTAAGAGCTGTTATCCAAAAGTGAAACTGACACTTGGCTAACAATGCTGCCAAGAGTCATGCAGGAGGGAAAGCTCTGCAGTGACACCAGTGTTTTTCTGCATAAAAAGTAACAATGCAACTAAAAACATGTAGAAATTTGATTCACAAATGCTGATGTCCTTCTATAAACAAACATTAAACAGGGTTTTTCTGGCCTTAGAATGGGCATTTAAGGGATGACTACACACAACAGTAAACATGATCAGTCTAAATACAATAGAAGTCATGACTCTGTTACCTCATGTGGCAAAAATCTATGTATTTTCCTGTTATTTGTGACAATTTTAAAAAACAAAATAGCTATTATGTTTGGGCAAATCACACCCAATTTTCAAACTGGTTAAAAATTTAACTGCTGGCTAAAAACCTCTTCAGCCAAATCTCGTCCTAGTGAAAATCTCTGAGTAAATAAAATAATACTATAAATGTGTGACATGCCATATCTTGATGGTGTTTGGAAAGACCTGAGAGGTTTTTCAGTTTTATGGGACAGCGTAGTCCAGAGCAGCTGCTGCAGTTAACAAATTGTGATTATTTTACATTATATTCATCAACAAATCAATCAGCTCTACAACTTGCTTTTCCCAAAAAAAAAAGAAAACTGTCCCCCTTGCTTACCTGTGGCAAAGCAGTGTTCAGTTGTCTCTGCAGCGAGTCCCTTTCATGACTAACTTCATGCAGTTTACCCTGAGTCAGACCCAGATTCTCCTGAGTTTCTCTCAGAGTCTCAAGAAGACGATCTCTCTCCTCCAGCATGGACACCATCAGCGACTCGAAGTGACCCTCCGAGTCTGACTGCAGTGGGGAGCCAGAGCCCCGGCGGCCACTGCCGCCTCCCCCGCCAGGCCCTTCAGCCTCGCTGATAGTGGGCATCACCTCGCACATCATCTGTAACCGTGGTTTGGCAGGACAGAGTAGAAGAAAGTAGGTGAAGCAACAGTGTTTAGATAGAGTGAAGGAGAGGGAAGAAAGAAGATGTAGAAAAAAGTTAGCCAACTGCAATGTTTTGGATTAAAACATCTGAGACAGGGCTGCAGCCAACATTTATTCTCATTCTCGTTGAATCAATTATTTGCTTTGTCTTAAAATGTCACATGATGTCAATCAGCGTTTCCCAAAGCTCAAATGTTTTTTATTCCCACAACCCAAAGTTCTATGAAACACTGAGGCTTACATACTTCACATAGTTTTACCTCTGGTTTTAAAATTGGATCAGTTTTTGTTCATGTTCTAACACAGACCTTGTCTTAATAGATTTGAGATAAAACAGATGACAGTGAGGCACATTTAAAAGTGCACCTGCGGGGATGATTTAATCAGCATTCTTTGCAGATACTGCAGCACTGTCCATTACAACAGCTTATGTAGTGAGCAGAAGGGAATACAGAGCCGCCAAATCAGCTGAACCTACTTACCGATTGCTAGTAATGGTTAACTGCTACTGGAACATAGTAGCCAAGAGAAAAAATTCAAATTAACCTACACTTTCACTGTTCAGAAAAAGAACAGAGATACTTCAATCAATCAGAAAGCTGATTATCTTTACGTTTATTGTGTACATCGCTGCATCTGACAGCAGCTGGGAGGGAAGGCCTGAGGAATTACAGTCAGTCTCCACACCAAGGGGCTTAGGTCCTGTAGACAGACTGCTAGACAAAAAGCCAAGAATCATGTGAGCTGGATTTAACATACCTACAAGGAACAACAACTTACAAATTGGAGCAAGTGTAGCAGCCAGAGCTACCCCTTCATCTTATTCTTTGCCACTGGCTGAGATGCCAAAAGCCATTTCCTTTAAGAAATCAGTGTTCGGTTCAGTGCACCAACACTCAACTGCACTGTGTCTTTTAAGGACTGTGGTCAAGAGCTGGACCAAACCTGCTAATTAACATGACAAAAATCAGCCATCCATCGTTAATTAAACTGAAATTAAAAACTGTATGTTTCAGGTGATAAACACCGTTTCTGGTTGAATGAGACAAACTTAACCTAATTTATGAGAGGCAAAACACAAAACCAACGCTTCATATCGAGGTCAAGCCACTCAGGCTCAACAATGTTTATGAGGGGGAGGGTCACTCAGCATCCATGGGAGGTAGTGACAGATGGTGGGTCCAGTGTGACTTAGCTTTGACATGCCATACGTCAAAAACTAAAGATGACAAATCAAGACATGAAAACAGGATACCCATGTAAATAGATATGCAGTTACTGTACAGGTACAATTAACTTTATGAAGGAGTGGCTTTGTAAACTTCAAAGTCACTCCTATACATGCTCATGGGGAATCTTGGGTATGTATAATATTGAAGATTCTTAACCTTAAGATTAACATTTGTCAGCTTAATTTGTATTGTATTTTAGGGCTGAACAGTTAATGAATTTGACAATCATGATTTCTAACAATGCAAATCAGGAAGATTGGAATTTAAGATTGTACAGCAGGTCTCATCCAGGGTTTAAACTGGCATATCAATAGTTCTTCAAATTCCTGCCTTTCTTCTGGCATGACAGTCATGCTTTTGATGATATCTTATGTGGCAATGCTCCATCACAAGTTTTAAATCTACTACACGGTTAATAGTTAAGTGAAGCTCGACTCAAATTGCAATATCGACTAGATACTATAATATTGTAGGGTTAATATTCAAATTAGTCACCTAAATTTGTAATACATATAACAGTAAAGGTTGTTAACTACAATATATGAATTACTAAGGTACATTTACTTTCAAACCTGGATAGATAAACTTGTTGGGTAATTCAATAAGTTTCACTGTCTATTATCCATTTGATTATTTTCTCAAATAATCGAGTTTGGTCTATAAATTGTGTGTGTTTTCCAAAACCCAAGATGACAGATGCCTTCAGTTTGTACACAAGATACCCTGTTTACTGTCATCGAGGAGGAAAGAAACTACAAAACATATACAGCCAAGAAGCTGCAATCAGAATGTTTTGAGTTACTTCTTTAAAATAAATACTTAAACAGATCAATTTCTCATCAAAATAATTCAACAGTTGCCAAATAATTCATCATTGGAGTAATCATTGCAGCTCTAATATATATAACGGTGAGATGAGAGTTCAATCAGCGTTTTCCACTATGAGGCAGCCACACACACAAACACACGCACGCACTAAAATGATGCTACAACATATGGATGAAGTTATTTAGTGTGCACGTGTGTCTTTTCTCACCTTTGAAGCGTAACGTTATTCCAAATCTCCTTTGTAATCCACGTTATTTTGTGACAAGTAAACAAAGTCCAGGTACTCCAATTGTATGTCACAGCCTTATCAAGCTTCACAAATATCCAAAGTCATTCAGAAAATATAAATTCCATTCAGAGGCTGGGATGCATTAAGGCTGTGGGGGGAGAAAAAAAGTGATAATTTCCTAAAGGCCTCAAAGCGAAACCCACATAAAGTGAGCAGGGGGGCAGTATTCCAAGTTTGGCCGGCTAACTCAACGTTAGCAGGCTAGCAATAAGTAAGCTGGTGATTCGATGATTGCATATCTGGATTTAAAGTGTCTTATCTTTGCATCTCAAAACAAACACAAATCAATTTCAACTCGCCGAAAATAACATCTCACAACAGGTAGACGTGTAAAGATACAGTTAGGTGAAACAGTGACAGCTTTGCTAAGCTAATTTGAAGCAGAATTCTTTGGCTTGAAGTCAGTTTAAAGTGCTAGCCAACGTTAGCCACTAGCCTGCTAGGTAGCTAACGGTTGCTAGTTTCATCTACTAACTTAGCTGAAATAACGTCAGGTAGACATTTAGGGGTAAATCTCGTATAAAAGTACACAACATGATAAAACAAATCTCTCGTAACCGTTTATCTTACATTATCTAAAGTAGTAAAAGAGTTTTTAAAATCCTGAAATAGCTCCGCTTCAGTGATTAATCTATCAAGTAGCGTTAGCAGCTAACGTTAGCTTCGTTAGCTCGATTCGGTTGGAGTCGCGTCACCACATCACGGCTCCGCTCGGAAACTTCCAGCTAACATTGAGCGACGTTTCGGTCCGTCTATGGGGGAGAAACCAAAACCGAGGATGAAAACTTATAATCCTTTCGTTTCTATCCGAGTTTCTGTCGTTCTCTCGGTATTTCCACCCAAAAAAGGTCCGTCGGTGCGGTCCTTCCCTGTCGCCACTGACTGCCAGCCTCGGCAGTCGGGACAGCCAATGGTGGGCTCCGTGTCGCTAGCGCTTTTCATTAGCCTGGGAGTCCACGGGAGGAGAGCGCTTCCCCGGCTGGCAACAGGAGGAAAAGGAAAAGCAGCAGCGCTCACAGTTCCTGTACAGATCCCAGGTAATAACGACACAGCCCACATCATCAAAAAAAGTTTTACATTTACAGGACTTTAAAGTGTCTGGAATGTCACATACAGGTGTCATTTTTATTTATTTTTCACTTTAGTCAAGGAAATTTGTTCAAGTGTAAAATATTATATATTATCAGGTGAAATTGTATTGTACATAATTTTGTGTTGTAAGTATTTTAATAATTACTTTACTGAGGTAAATTTGTAATAATATATCGTCTAATGCTGTAAAGTCTGATCCTTAATATTAAATTTATTCAGATAAATTCACACAATATATATATATATGCATGAATATTAATCATGTAGGGTATTAATCTTAATATATAATTTAGTCAGGAAAATTTGTGATCATATATAACCTAATATTATAGGGTCTTTACCATAAGATATACATTTGTAGTATTTATAATATTCTGGAATCTTGACCTTAATATTTGTACTTGTCAGTCAAATTCACATAATAAATAATGCTGCTGGGTCTCAGAGCCTATATTTGTTGAATTTGCATAACAAAAATGCTGTGAAGTCACATTTGTAATATGTTTAATATTGTGAGGTCTTAACTTTTATATTTAAATGAGTCTGTTTAATTTGCATAATTACTAGTACTGTAGGTTTTAAAACTTAATATTCAAATTTATTCAGGTATAATACTGTGGGGCCTTAAATGTAATATTTAAATTAGTCAGATAAATTTGTCATATATTTGATGTTAACCTTAATATTTGGTTTAGTCAAGTAGATTAATATCATAAGTAATAAAATAATAATTTGAAGGGACGTCATCTTTGTATTGAAATTAATTATTTAAGTTTACAGAGCTGATAATCGATAGGATATTAACCTTAATATTTAAATTAGGCCGATAAATCTGTAATATATATATATATATAGATTATTGTGGGGGTGTTTAGTTTAATATTTAAATGTATCAGGTAAATACACATAATAAATAACACTGCAGAGTTTTACCCTAATATTTATTTTAGTCAAGTAAATTAGTATTACGAAGTCTAAATATTAGTCACATAAGTTTAAATAATAAATAATACTGTACAGTCTTTACACCAAAATGTTTGTCACAGAAATCTACACATTTATTAATATTGTGGGGACTTAATATTAGTGTTTATTTTAGTCAGGTTAATTTGTATTATGAATAATTTTGTAAGGTCTTAACCTAAATACCTAATCTTGTAAGCTAAATTCACAGCTCCAGTCTTATTTCTGTACTGAAAAGCACTTTGGCTTAGCGGCTGTTTTAAATGTTCTGTATAAATAACAGTGACCTGACGTGACCTGTCTCTGTAACATCCTCTACAGTAAAACTGGCTATTTCATGTTCAGAACGATCATTTATAGAGGTGTATAATATACTATGACACGTGAAATCAACGTTTATATTATGTGTAACATGAAAACATACTAAAAATTTCATAATTTTGTGTTTCCCTTTATATTCATTGTATTCTAGGTTTGCAGACAGGCACCTACAAAAGCTGTTTCCAACAAAGATCAAATATAAAGACGACAGAATGTGGCTGAACACAGAATTTTACGTTTTCATTTAAATAACGCCGCGTACTTTTAACCATTTATCTCTATTAATGATATTACATGGATCATATGATTAAAAACTGATGTGTCTAACTTGTTCATCACTTATGTTGTTTGTTGTCTTAGTCTTACCATATTTTAACCATTTCAATGCGTGACCTACATTTAGCTGTAAAATGATGAACTCACAATAAAGAGAGCAGTTGTGCCATCTTGTGGTGGAGCGACACAACAGCTGTTTAAAAGCTAAATGTGCAGCATTGTGGGTTTTCTTTTTTACTGTTGAAATGGTTTTCTGTAACTTTTCAATCAATCAAACTTTGTTTATACATGGTATATTGTGCGCTTAGTGTTTCATATTTACAGCCATTCACTTTATTACTGTCCTGCTGCTAGACTTCATCACATTTCAGACCAGAATTATTAATTACGTTCACCAATAAACCTGTCGACAGCTAATTAAACAATGTAGCAACCAAGAGAATGAGCACAACCACAAAAGGCAAGTTTATATCTCTCTGGTCTGATATCTATGAGGTCCAACAGTAGTCTGTGTTTTTCAAATAAATGAAGATATCTGTTAAAAACTTGTAATTGTGATTGACCATAAACTTCTTTTTTTTTTTTTTTTTAAGTAAAATCAATTTTCTTGACTTTTAAAGACTGTAAAAAACATTCGCAAATTTATATATATATATGTATCTTTTACAGATATTTTCTTTTTACTTTATGAATGAAACTGTTAAATTGAAATTTAATACCTTAATACTAATACTATATTTATGAAATTCGGGACCATTAGTGACAATTACCAAGATAAAAAAGCATTGGTTCTGTAGTTTTACACAGATTTGTTTGTTAAATGAGAGAAAACTTTAATCATTACAGAAGTGTGAAGGTGTTTTCATCAGTGTATAATGTCCATGAGCTGGTAAACTGTCAGGATACAGTTTTTATCATTATAGATATATCCTTCATTATTATATCCATCTACTTTATGAAATCTATATTATTGTATATTAAAGGGTTATTTTATTGTTTATGCACATGTAAATATATATTTTTTAAACATTAAAAAAGTGATAAAAATACATATGATCTCATGTAAAGTTAAGGCTGAAAAAACATGTTTAAATTATGAAAAAATTACTGTATTGTTAAAAGATGGTTATTTTCCATAATTTCTATATTTTTCGCCCCCACTGCCAGAATATTTGCCTTTTTTTTAAAACATTTTCTTTACAGTGCAGTATTAAAGTAATAGTTGTTATACTTGAAACACAAACAGAACAATATACTGTAGAATACATTATTCGATTAGCATGGGGAGTTGCATGCATTTGTGTCAGAGCAGATGAGAATGAAAAAGGACAAAAGCAAAAATAGTTGTAAGAAAAAACTTTATTGATCAGTTGTTCACCCCTTCTCAGGCCAATACATGTCAGACATAAAAACATCGGTTTACTCTGGTGTAAGTCTTTAATTAATCCAATAAACCAGTTTTTAAAAAAAACAAAAACAACAAAAAAAACACAGCAAAAATACACACAAGAGAATGTTTTTATTGATCCATTAAAAAAAAGTATGCCATAAGTGATTTAGGACTTTTACATTTATTTAAAGCCGCTTTTGACACAGGAACAGTTATGACGGGAAAACAATCATGATACTTGATTTAAATCAGAGAGTAATATTTATTAGTAGGAACAGTTAAAAACGCTGAACAATCACCCAGCAGCTGCAGCACTAGTTGATCATCATTTTTGGTGTCGTTTCATAGAAAAATCTGTTAACTTACTCGCCCATACACAGATTGTATAAATTTGACGCAGGTATAACATGTAGATGTGTGAATTCTGCTGCTGTCTCAGGTCTCAGATACAGGCAGCGGTTGGTATTTGACCTTTGACGCCTTGGTTTTGTAGATGAGCACTCCACAGATCATGCCAACAGCAGCGAGGGCACATCCAGCGATGAACACCAGGTTCAGGTTCACGGTGAACGCTGGAAACGACAGAGGCACAGTTTCATTTCAGTGTTTTACTCAAACAAGGCAGCTTCACGTGCTGTTAAAAAACAAATCCACTCGCTGTTTCCTCACCTGAGCTGTCACTGTTCTCGGCCGACCGCTTCAGGCGCAGGGGACCCTGGGAAACAAAGTGCTCTCCACTCTGGATGACGGCCTCTCTCTTTCTGCGACGCCCACTGGTCGTGGGATTTATGCATCCCTTCGAGCACCTGGTGTTGGGGTTCCCCACTTCGCACATGATAACTGAACAGGTGATGTAGACCTGATGACAACAGAACACAGTGTTATTATATCCAGTCTGCCCCCTCTCGTGCAGTAGTTCCCAAAGTTGGGGCTACAAGATGATTTTCAGAAATAACACACTTTAACTATAACTCCAACAAAAGTTAAAAATAATAATAATAATAATAATGATAATAGTAATCTGCTGCTTCTACATACTGTATGTTTACTCAGCTTACACATAAAGATTACTTTGATGCATCGTGCTTCCAGCCAATATTAACCCTCTAAACCTCACTTAGTTTCCAAACATTGTTTTCTTGCTCCTGTCACATTTTTCTTTGTTCACTGTAAGCTATTTTTTTTTTACTACATTATAAAAACTATGCACTTATATGAAAATAGCGACAATAGCTAGAAGTAGAGAGAACTCAAAAATGTTTTCTATGTAGTGTGACACAGTCATAGCGCCATACACACAAAAAAGTTGGATTTTAAGCTTAGATTTTGTCCCGTTTATCCAAAAGAATAACATATGACATGTTTGACATGAAAGAGCAAAAATTATATATAATAAGATTATGGTTGTTAAAAGGTCCATAAGGGCTCATTCACACTATTTCAATAGCAAACTGTCGAACATGCAGAAATAAGTTTAATGGCAACAATAGACAGTGTGCAGGAGTCAGTTTGAAACTATTCCATTTGCTCGTCTCTCTTCTATGCATCTGTCTTATGAAATACATATGCAAAGAGTTCCTTTATCTAACATAAATTAAAATAGAATAATACAGATCAGGAACCACAGACTATAAAATTAAATGAAAATAGGCTTTTTCTATGAAAGAAATTATGGCAACATGAAAAAGACTAAACGACACATTAAAAACAATTATAAATTCTTATTTTTTCCCTCTTGCAGTTCCACAATTTCCTGCACGTCAGTCCAGAAACTTGTGAATTTGGACCGACCACGTTGCTGATGCATGTATAGCTACACCCTAACCACATTCTTCACCTGGTTATGCAAGCCGATGAACTTGAAGGCATCCATGCTGAACAGGAACTGCTTATTGTGGGCACTAGGGTGGATGGTAACAGTCGGGTCCACTTTGCACCTAATCAGAGCAAAAGCAAGAAGACAAGAGCATTGCTACTGTAAGTTCAGGTGTCACAATATATGCCAGTATTGAGGCATTATATCTGTCATAAAGGCAGAGCATAACTCGTTGCAGGAAGCTTGGGATGCACTTTTCTGCGAATGTGCAGCATTAACAATCAACAATTTATTAATTCATAACACAGTTTCAGCACAGTTAACATTTGTCTTGTGTTGGTCTAATTGTTTTAGGCTAGGGACATGTGATATGGGGTGTAAAGATAGCTCTATGTTAAAATCAGGACATCAAAATGCTGTCCTAGTTGATTGATTTGTCTCAAACACCTGAGCTCTGGACAGAGGACTTTAAGCATCAAAGAAGTCTCTGTCATGGTGGCCCATTGCTAGCTAAACCCTCACAATGATCCCATAGTTGAAGTGACCATTTTCTTTAGTGGCTTCAGTCTTAAAAAGCAAGAGGCTCCACCTGGTGGTGCAATCAGGTACTACAGCTATTCTGCCATACTTGAAGTGTGTATTATATCCAATGACTCCAATTAGTTTGGGGGCAAAAAACAAAACTTGATTAGTGCATCCCTACTTAAGACATTTAATTAGTGGCATTTAATCTCCCATTCTTGTATCTCAGCATCAAGTTACACAACCTGGGTCTTGAACAACAAAAAAAAAAAAACAACCTCATCATCACATTCATCAATTTAAAATTTTTGCCTCAACAGCATGAAAGAAACCTAGTCAATAGTTTAGTGGACAAAGGTCCAAACTTTTTAAATATGCTATAAAGCTATCTGTAGTGAGGGAGCTGAAGTCAGTGCTTTACGAAACCTTTTCAAGACCTGCAGACACCCTCAATGGTTTTTACTGAATTTTGACTTTTACATCAAGATATCTTGGACCTTTTAAATCCATCTTTGAAAGGTGCTAAAGCAATAAAGGTTATTATTATTATGATTATGATTATGATTATGATTATAATTATCATGATCATTATTATTATTATTACCTAAAAAGGGAAACACTCGGATGGATAAGAGAGACAGAACATAAACTATCATTAGGGCTGATACATCATATAGGTAACCACTCACACATACAGTCAAATCCCTATAAATACTTTGTGGTTTCCTCTGTTGCTCCTGGAGGGTGTTGTCATGCCTACCCGTTTGCAATGATGGTGTAGGGCGTGCGGTAGTTGGGGTTGTCGTACGGTGCAGCCCTGCAGGACTCCACAAACATCTCGGTGTTGTTGACTGAAGAGGTCGCCTCTATCTTCATGAAAATTTTGCTCCCTATCTCCACCTCCATAGGGTACGAGGTTGGGTCAATCATGGTTCGGTAGCTGCTGTCTTCATAGAACTCAAACCCGTAGGTGAATTGGCCAAAGCCTCTGTCCCACACGGTAATGTTCTTCCTGTGAACAGAGAAGCTCTGCGTCACGTTGCCATGTTTGGCGTACTGGCAGTAGAACTGCACTTCCAGCAGGTGCTTCCTGGTGATCACATTTCTCGAGTCTTCGAATGTGGTGATTTCATTCTTGAACATGAGGTTGTCCTCATCCTCCTGCAAAGCAAAAGGTTGCACGTTCAGCCACAGTATTGAGGACATGTGAACTGTTCATGTTAGACGTTGATCCTAGAAGTTGTTACTCTATTTTCTGTCTTGCTTTTTGCACATATTGTTGTTGTTGCCTGTTTTATAACTAAGGTACTACTCTTTGGTCAACTCAGGCTGTTTACAAATGTAGGATATAGATAAACTTAAATTGATTTGACATGTCCCGAATGTGCAGAAATGTTGCTGAAACACATCTGACTGATTAAAGTCCAAGGGTTTAGAAATGAATTAAAACTAATTTATTTTTCATTGACGTGGAAAGGTTACTTCCCCAAACAAAAGACATGAGTACAGAAGAGTGTGTGTTGACTCAGCATGGATAATAAAAAAAGAGAAAAGTTGACAACAAGAGGTTTATACTTGAAAGCACGTCTGAGAGCCAGACATTTAAAACATAAACTGATGCAGAAATGGAACAAATTAGTGCATTAAAGTTCACCGGAATGATGGAAATGACGTGTTTGACACCCAGGAGGACACCCAGTCTCCTGCCTAATGTTAAAAATCAATAACTGATGGAGCAGATGACCCTTGGTTACCTCGATCTGAGTGCCACACTGGTTGAGGGGGATGATGCCGATGACGTGGGTGCTGTTGGAGTGAGTCTGCAGGCTGCAGATGGTGTTGGAGGGGTCGCTGAGCCGCAGATGATCCTCACTGAGTCGAGGGAAGGAAGCTTTCTCCACCAGGATTGTCATTGAGGACTCATTACAGATCACTTCGCATTTAACTGGAACAGGAGATACAGAAATATATATATATATATTTTAACTTCACCCCTTATACAGAAAACTGCATGTTTTGTAAAAATATTGTGCGATAAAACCTGCATTGAGCAAAGTTTTTGATACAAAAAATATTGCTTAATGTAGGAGTGGAAATGCAGGTTTATGATTAACATTTTAAGTTAAATATAATATATATGCTAAAATATATGTGTGTTGGAATTTGGTTGGAACAGGATATTCAAATTTATTAAAACATATTAAACTGATAACTGCGTATTTTGTAAAACACACACACACATAGATTAATTGCAACAAACATTGTTCTTGGCTGTAACAGGAGACTATATAGGAATGTAATATTTCAATTTCATCCTCATGTGCAATATTCAAATTTCATCTGCAGTGTTTTATTTTCTGATGATTTTCTCGTCTTATTTTAGCTAACTTATTTTAATTTTCACGAGTGTATCTGACTTATTTCTTAGTGTTTTTTTTTTTTTTAATGTTTTTATTCTGAACTGCATTTGTTCTCATGTTATTGTAATTCTGTTTTCTAAACAACATCTGGCACAAGAATTTCCTTCAGTAAATTGACTCGCTTTTGAAAGCAGCCTCAAGTGGACATTTGAGGAACTGCGGTTTTCACCCAAACAGCAAAAGGAAAAGCATTGCAGCTTTAAAGAATTGTTCTCCAATGTACTGTATTGTCAATATGTCCAACATTTAGCACTTAAATCAAGAAAATGTTGACACTGAAACAGCATTTAGACTCACCTATCTGTGCCTTGACTTCCACCACGACGCACCTCATCTCAGAGTGATAGATGCCAGACCTGAAAGAGCATTAGTGAGCACTGATTCAACACTTTTACTGAGGAGAGGCAATGTACATTCAAGTTGGGCTGATTTCAAATGAATAGCATTTAATTTCAGGTGAAAAGAGAAAAGAAAATGCACAACAAGCAAAGTTAAATATGAATTTGACTCATAGCATTTTTTTCCCCTCAAGTTGACTTTAGATGTTGAGATTAAATCTGTTTATTTACACGATGATCATGTAGTAAAACATCTTCCTCCTTCTTAACCTTCCTAAGAATCTTGGCAGCTTCGTGGGTTCATTATTCTTTCCTTATTTTCATTTCTCAGACACAACATGAGCAGTGAAATGTCACTCACCGTGAAGTCGGGGTTGGGTGAAAATGCGAGTGAGAATGGGACTGGGTGGTGACTGGAGGTCTGGTGACACTTGGCCTGTAAATTATAAAAATGGTGGAATCAAGGTTTTGAAACCCTCAAACTGATTGTGTCCCAAAAGAAATGAAGCCACGGCTCACCCTGTTGCTGATTCAACAGCAAAGCAGATTGGAAAAAACTCCCCCAGGTCTTCGTCTGTGGGCATCCACCTGATGACGAACTCGTTGTGCGTCGTCTTGTGCTTGGTGACGTTCGAGGGCCCACTGATGATGATACCTTGAATTCTGTATGAAAACAAAAGCAAGAAAACAGGGATTTTCTCATTATTACAGATGTTGCCTCTCTTGCACTTTTTGCTCTGTCTCTGTGTCTGTCTTACACTGCAAGTGAAGCTTGAGCTTTGACTCTGATCTCCAAGACTGAGTTGATCTCTGCATGGATAACCTCTGCATTTTTAGGTGTTGGGGACACAAACTTGGGCAGGTAGAGTCCTTCTTGACACGATGGAACAGGTGGGTCCACTGGAAGATTAAAAAAAAAAGGTAAAGTTTAAAAAAAAAATATATATATATAGAAAACTGTCACTGTGTTGCTGTGTGAGGATCAAAACTGTAGTGTTTCTTTGATGACAAACAGTAATTGCTTTTACTGACATGTAACTAAGTACAGTGCATCTCTTTCTGGCATTCTGGCACGTTTACAGTCATTTTACATCAATTTGTGGCATTTCTTTTATTGTTTTGTGTCTCCTTTTAAATGATTTGCATCTCTTTATAACCTTCTTTGGCATCTTTGCAATAATTTTATATCCACTTGCATTTATTTTGTATCTCTTTCTGGTCTTTTTGCGTGTCATTGCAGTCATTTTACATTTATTTCTGTTCATTTTGTTTCTCTCTTTGCTGTGTTGGTTTATTTGGAGTCATGTTACATCAATTTGTGGTCATTTGGCATCTGTTTCATTTGTTTGTATCTCTTTTAAATTGGTTTGAATCTCTTTATTACCTTCTTGGGTGTCTTTGCAGTTGTTTTACATCTATTTGTGTTGATTTTGCAACTCTTTCTGGTCTTTTTGAGTGTCAGCAGAAAATTTAAATCTATTTTTGTTTATTCTGGATCAAAATTTCTATTCCATACTTGTATTTGTACTTTTACTCATTATCGGAATTCCTCTTCCACTACTGACTTCTTCCTGCAGTTTGGGGGTGAATTCCCTGCCTCATGAGGTAACAGGTGTCTCCCAACATATAGATTTATGTCTCCTAGATAAGCTAAAATTTTCTGTTTCGATTCATTGGTCAAGTAAAGGCTTCATACACTAAAATTTAAACATAAATATTTAATCTCAAAGCTAGTAGTTAAGAGAACAAATTAAATGCATCTTTTCAAACTTTTCTCACGCAGATGGACTCCTGCCCTGAATAAATCTAAAACAATAGCTAATTATGACGCTGCCGGAGCTGCAGCATGTGTGGAAGTTGAGGGCGATGCAGCTGGTAGTGGTTTGCAATTAGTGTGGTATTAAAAATATATTCAGATATTTATGTGTACACGTGAAATCTCACTTACCAAGAAAAGCGAACTGTAGTGGGAGTTGGCTGAGGGGAGGAGTTGGGGCGTATGTGGTAGTGGGCCAGTGCGTGGTTGTGGGTCTAGCTGTGGTCCATGTGGTCCATGGACGTGTGGTTATAGTTGCTGTTGTGGTTGTGGGCCATGTAGTTGTGGCTGTAGTTGCTGTTGTGGTTGTGGGCCATGGAGTTGTGGTTGTAGGTGTTGTTGTGGTTGTGGGCCATGGAGTTGTGGTTGTAGGTGTTGTTGTGGTTGTGG